GCTCTGGATCATAGACCTCACTTCAGCACCCTCCTTGGGAGCGACATGAGTCCACCCTTATCCTCCTATGGGTGTTGAAGTTGTGCTCGTAGACAATCCTTGCTTGTATAATGTGTACAGACCGAAGCGAGGCCAGGAAATTTGGGGGATCCCTCAGCCCTCATCTTGCTTGTCAACTGTTCATGAGTCTGGTGGCAATCAGAGCCTAGCCTTATTGAGTGATTCGTCATCTCAATGCAGAGAGTTACAGAGCGAGTCTACTGTAGCAGACCTTACGTGAGACTGCATGAAGACAGTACCAAGCTGCCACAGCAGAATTCACATAAGCGACGCAACTATGACAGCTGGAGTGACGATTTGGTGTGTCTAGCATTCATATGGTCAATCACGTGCCTTCTGGAATCCATCAAGAGGTAGGTGCTTCTATGGATCATTTAGCCCTAGACGACTGGTGACCCAATAATACGTGGCTGAGCGAAGCTCCTCCCAGCAGGCTAATACGGTCCATGCACTTCTCCATTGGGGTGGGGGACTACTTAGGAGATTTGGTGGTGGACTGGAAACGGTCCAACGCCAGACCAGTTGGTTGAAAGCGCGCGCTCCACTTCCACTCCCTCACCTCACTACTTGTATCGCGTGGATGGCATCTACATACAGGCCTCACTAGTACTAGGGACTGCGTAGTGGGCAATTGGAGTCAATTAGATACTAGCAATCCGAGTATTATTTGCAGTCTTTCAGAAAGCCATTGGCGTATCTTCTATGTTTTTCATCCCTCTAGTCTGTTTGTCCACCATAAAAAATTGCCATTGGTGAAAACTTGAGGTCCATTATACTGTGAATGTAGAGTTTATTTTGGCATTTTAGTTTTCTCACTCATAATAGGAATTTTGCCCAATGTTTAGAGATCACCTTTATTTGTTCTCCTATATAAGGACTGTATGGTTCTGTTGTTGTGACATTGGAACATCTTCTGGCTAATGTGTCTGGTGTCGTAGCAGGTAAACGGTGTACCTGCCTTATATAACATGTGGCGAGCTTAAAGGAAGCTGTCCAGGGGTGTAGCACTCAGTCTGGAGGCTGTGCATTGATGTCAGCTGTCCAGTAAAATGCTATACATCGCGATTGCGCAATCGTTTAAATCCATAGAGCATAGACACACAGAGACAGAGTAAATTTGATTCTTCATCACCACTGGCCTTGACACAGCAGAGGCTGATAGGTGGAGGAGGACTCATGTAAGGAACTCTCCTGCATCTCTGCTATGTCAATCTCGTTCACTGTTCCAATCCATCTCTGGCCTGATCTATGGCACCATAAACTGGACCTACGTGCTTGGCTGGCCCTCACTCCTCAGAAAGGGATGAGACACTTATACCCTGATAGGACTTTTTACGGACCAGCTACACCTGTGTGCAGCGACAGAAACGTGTTAGAGCGAATAAAACCGAAGAAGCAAAAGAAGTCTAAAAGAAGCGTCTGCCACCTGATATATGTTAAATAATGATCCTAAACTCTATTGTTCTCTTGAAGATACTCTTCTATGTGAGTAGGCCATATGGTTTACCTGCATGTTGAAAAATGAAGTAATCCTATAAACCTGGCCAATTATCGAGCGATAAAACATAAATCATCCGCTTTGACGATCAGTCAAAAGCACGAGGGACGCAAACGATGCTCCATACAATTTACACGGCCATGTCTTCCTCTTGACCCTTAAGTGATTATAAGTATAATATATTGCCTTCTCGATCTGGTCTTACATTAGGGTCTCTTTGCTCTCACATATATGAAACCACCAGAAAGTACAGAGTCCATGAAACAACCACATCGAACATAGCTGAAAGCAGGTAAGCGTAATTCTATAAAACATAAGTGCTGCGGAGTAAACAATTACATTTATTCCATGAGGTTATTCTATGCGAGGTATTGCTGAGACAACTAATTCACCAGTTCTTCTACCTGCGGTAATTAAAGTGGCAAGTAGCTTCTGAATAGGGAGGTTTGTTGTGTATTTTTTATCTTGTATCAAAGGATATACTTGCTAATGTCTTATGCTGCTATAGAAGCTTATATTATGACAAAATATAAAATAATTATTTATTATCTAACTGACAAAGATAGATAATTCTTTTATGTGGTACCATGTAGTATGATAGTTTAGTACAACTATATCTAATTACTACCATATAATGGCTTACACTAGCGAAAAACTAAACACTGGACTAGAGGTCACTTATAGGTGCAAGATAGATTCAGAATTATATTAAATTCAACTCGCTCCTTTACAGAGTGCAACCAAAAGAGACAGTGATAGTAACAACATTCCAAGGTACCAGGTTGGAGTTGTCAATATTAGAATGGTGGTCGCTTTCAAGACTATCATATTGCGATCAAGAATTTCAGTTGTAAATTTTAAAGATATTAAAAACCTGATTTAGGATTTACAATGATACCCCATTATATGTAGCCTGGATGAGAGTTGTTAGCTAAGAAGAAACAAGTTGTTACCAAACTGATATATACATCTGTGCTCTACTCAGTTGTTCTCATTACTAAATTTGATAGCCAGAGAGTATCTATGGTACAGCCCTGTTAAATAAAATATGGACTCTGCTGAAATACACACTACACACACATTCACCTTTATTCACAAAGGCTTCAGTAGTATCTACATTTTGGAGGCAGTACAATGAGGAGCCACGGTACATCATACTCATTTGTTGAAAAGCGCAAACATCTTTTATGAATATTCTTAAAAATGATCATGGATAATTTACATATAAGCTGTAAAAGTCTTTGCTTGCCTACTGAGAAATATAGAGTAGGCCATTAAGTAGGCAATACTTATCAAGTTGTGTCTAATTAAGTAATGTAAATTCCATGATTCCATATACTTATTTCTCTTTTTGAAAACCCTACCAAAAGTAATCCAATTCCTATATCATCAGATCTATCTGCCCAAGAGTGCTTCATAGAGTGGAAACCGCATTGTCTCCAGGCGTTAAGGTGCGCGCCTGCAACATTTAATGTTTCTGTGATCTTAAGATGTGTAGAGCTTGGGACCTAGTCATAATCCCACCTGCATAGCACCGCATTCTGGGGAGGCGTCGCTGAAAGGAAGTAACTTAAGTGCGACATCAACACTCCGAGATAGACACGAGCAGTGTGGTATGGGCCTCTCCATTTTACTGCTTGAATATTGAACCACTCCGGGTGAGCAATAGAGAGTTTGTGGATCTCCATGATAACTAAACCTCCACCTTGAGTAAGTATACTGTTGGAATGTGGCACAGTTGCAAGGGGATAGCTAACACCGTACCTAGTGAGAGGCCGAGTATTGTTAGGAGCGCGAGGTAAACGCGCTAAGCATTGCCATGCAGGTACGATCATCCCAAAACAAAGCTAGGCCTGGAATGCTCGACCCCTCCCAGCATAATCATTAGAGTTTTGGGGGGGGGTGGCGGGAGTTATTGTCATAACGTGTGGCGCACTACCCTGCCCTTTCTTTGGTTCCATTTTTGTGGTGTCGTGAACACCTGTAGTTGATATGTGTTGTAGAGGCTTTTCTATAATATAAATTATAATCCTGGCAGAGGCAGATTGATCGAAGAACTGCACAAAATTAATCTGTATACCAGGTGACCACAGGATGAGTGCAACGCGTGTGCAAGGCCTGGTGTACAGCAACACGAGAGATAAAGACTAAAGCCATACAAATGGGCCAAGGCAAATGCGAAGACCGCAATCAGTCCTCGCTATCAATGTGCCGGTTGTGCAGGAAGATAACTCAATGAACTGAGTGACTTTTTAAGGTGAACGCCCAGATATGTTAACACTTCTACCAAAAAATCGATGGTCATCGCTGCTTATATATTACTTGTTCACCCTCTCCCAAACCAGAAAAGCATGATGGTTCGGGGTGTAACCTCCTCTCGCACCCACTCTGAGTTGCTTTGCCGAATCCTGAATGGACACAAAAAAGCAACCTGTCATACATTGTAACCATTATTGATCAAATAATTACTTCAATAATTGCTATGAGATTAACTATTTAATGAAGCTTTCACTATCCAATACATGTAAACATGCAGCAGCAATACAGTATTACAAATATGACAAATACTGCCAAAATTATGATTATGCTGGAGGGAATAACGAAGCATTCAGCCCTTAGCTTTTGTTTTTGGATGATGTAGTTTTCATGTATGGTAGCTGGTCTTACCATCGGCTTCATGTGTGCATGTGCAGCATTCCACAGTATTATACAAAGGTAGAAGGTTCCAGTTATCATGGGAGCTCCACAAAAATCCTATTTACCAGTGTATCAATATCCAACAGTAAAATGAGAGGCCATACACATTGCTGTTTTGGTGACCAAAAGTCCTTCAACCTCCACCAGAATGCGGTGCTTTGGATAGAACTTCATGCAAAATAAATGTCTGTGGAGGCAAGCACATGCAGCCTAAGCCTGGCAGATAGACACGTGATTGAGCTCACCAAGTATAAGAAGCAAAATGAAAGGAAATACACATGAACAACTTAAATGCTACAGATCCTTCATCAGAAACAAGGAAAAATTCCCATTTAGATATCCATGACATTTTTAAATCACAGATGTTCAACAAATGAGGATCTACCTGGTCTACTGCCTCCAAATAGACATCTGAAGCCTTGTAAAGAAGTATGTGTATTTCAGCAGAGTACATATTAATTTACAGGGCTGTACCACACTGCTACTTATGAGAAACACTGAGCAGTCTACAAACCCACCATGGTACTGATGTTGTTACTATCACTGTCTCTTTTGTTGCTTTAAAGCGTGAATATTTTCTTGCCATACTACCCAGACCCATTATGAGATGATATTGACTAAAAATATACCAAAAATACACATTTCAAATATAATATATATATATGCATGAGTGCTAACATAGCAAGAATCTTTGATACAAGATAAAAAAAAAAATCAGGATTTTAGGGGAATTGTGATATCCAAAATTATAGATATTGTTCTAGCAGCTGTTTTTGTTTAGGACAGCTAAGAAAGCAAACATACCAAGGGTAGAGGAAGGCATCGATGTTGACATGATCTCCTCTCGCTGTCGGAGTTTCCATGCTAGTTCCTCATTCTCTAGGCTCAGCCGTTTGTTGATGTTGGACTCTCTCTGGTAGGTCTCGATTAAAAGTCTGTGTTCATTGACCAAATGTCTGTAATGCAGGTGGAAGAATAAGCATTATGAAGAAGTAAATGTGTGAGTATTGTTGCTTATATATAGCTATAGAAGTTGATGTCCTTTTCACTGTTATATATATATATGACTTTTAATTAAAAATCATGTGAACAACATGTAAACATTGGCAAAATTACTTTGAAAACTAAAGCAAATTTCTACATTCACAGTCTGATGCAAGATTCCACAAAACATAAAATACGCATTAGCTTTAAACTCTCCTTGCTGTATTCTCTCTTACTGACCTTTCAGACATAGATCTCTTCTCCATTTGTGCCTGGAGATCCTCAGTCTTAGCCTGGAGGGCCTTCGACTTTTCTCTGGCTAATTCCAGGTCATTGGTTAGCCTGTCCATTTCTACCACCTGGCCGCGTAGTTCATGGATCTCGGCATTTCTCATCTCCACCACTGTCTTTAGAGACTCAACCTGTGCATAAAGGCATATGGGTAAAAACTATGCTGCTTTGTCCTGAATTAGAAATAAGATACCTAGAAATAAATGCAAGAAGAGATGAAACACCTAAATATAGAGACAATACAAAAAAATACATATACTAAAAAAATTATCCATAAACAATACTACAGTATATAAGATTATGCTTCTGAATGCAAGAAAAATTAAATTCAGTGCCTCACCTCACTCTTGAGAGAGGAGCACATTTTCCTCAAGGCCAGCAATCTGTGATCAGTATCATTCAGCAGCGTCTCCTCCAGCTTCTTAGATTGCAGCTTCAGGGCTTCCTGTTCCTGGAGTAATCTCTCGTTGGCCATTTCCAGTTCAGACTCCCGGGCACGCCTCGAGGATTCCAGTTCGCGAAGCTGTTGGAAGTTGGATTTGTATTACATGGAGAAATCACAAGAAAGAAAGAAGAAGAAGAGAGGAACTCATTCAATCTCCTTCTCCTTCTCTCTTTTCTCTGTTCATCAATGATGGTTTTTTCTTCAAGACAAGGGGGTATTTCACAACTGCCATGTTACCTTCTGTGTGTGTCGTGTGTTGAGTTCCTGGACAGCACACAGGTGTTTTTCATGTTGAACATCTAGCTTACTGCGCCATTCTGCTTCCATCTGCTCCAGTTCAGCAGAGTGGGCACGACTAAGGTCTTCCCTCTGTGAAAAATAGTGAAAATTAACATCAAGAGAATATATTATGTATATAAATACAGCTATTAAACAATAGATCATATAAAAATGAAGCATTACAAAATCAGACTTTGAGACTTTTTGCAAAGCCATTATAACTGGGGGTAACTATGATTCTTAGAGTGTGAGAATTAACAGCCTGATTCTATAAAGTTTTGCTGCATTACCTGTGCCTGTTGCTCCTCTGCGAACTTGGCCATATCTTTGCGCTGTTTCTCCAGAACTGTTGAAATAATTAGGTTTATATTAGATTATGACGATGGTGATGATAAAAGTAGAAACACAATGACTTCATGTTCGTGCATAAAGAACTGTCAAAATGTGCAGAAAAAACAAGACATAAAAGTCCCACTTTAACATGAGTGGTAAAGATAACTGTGTTTCTATTTTTAAACATGACTTAGGGCTGTATAAATTGCACCAAAGTATCATTTCCAGCACAATATACATTGTACAAAAGCATTTCCATTAGAAAAAAAAGTTTTAATTCATGGACTGACTTATGAATATAATTTGTCAAAGAAAAAAAAATGGTCCACGGAAATTAAAAAATGACTCGGCAGATATTATATGAAAATGCCCAACTCAAAGCTAACATAGCAAGGACATAGGATGCAGACATTTCCTAAAATTGCGAATGACATGTAACTTCCACCCAGAAAATTCAGATAAACTACAACCCCAAAAACAAAGTAACACACAAATTAAACAAATAAAATAAAATAAAACCAGAGATGTAGGACTTCTTTTCCGCCTCTGACAGGTTATTACTATAATCATCATTTCTTTTCTCATATTCATTACTATTGATATTTTGACTGCCGATATTATCATTACCATTATCCCTACTATCATCATTTCTACCATTACCATTTCTTAATTATTCTTGCCATCTTTATTACCATTATTATTATTCACAGTAATAGTATTATTTCATAGTGGTATTTAGAATGGCAATATCGAACATTGGTATTTAGAATGGCAATATTTAACAGTAATAGTAGTATTCAACAGTATTAGTAGTATTTAATAGAATACTAGTATTGAACAGTAATAGTAATATTAATTTAGTAGTAGTATTCAATAGAAAAGTAGTATTTAATAGTAACAATAGTATTAATTTAGTAGTAGTATCTAATAGAATAGCAGTATTGAACAGTAATAGTATTACTTTTTCAATAGTATAATTTAATAGAATAGTAGTATTGGACAGAAAAAGTAATATCAATTTAGCAGCAGTATTTAAGGCCACTGACCCAGATCGAGTTCATGCTGGTGCTGCTTGTTAATCTGCTCGAGGGTCTGTCGGTGCTTCTGTTCCAGCTGCTGCGCCTTCTGCTCATGCTCGCTCGCGCTCTTCTCCGCTGCCTCCTGGAGTCTGCGCACTGCTGCTGTGCTCTCGTCTGCCGGAGGGAAAGGCGGTCAGCTCTCAGGGAATTGGGGGAGGGGAGGGGAGGGGGGTCGTGTCTCATATAAGGGGTAAAGGTTGGTAAATGTGTAGAGTTTTGTGAATGTTGTTAGTTATTAATATATGGAATAAATATGCTGTCAGATATCTTAAAGGGGGTTAACAAGATCAAATATCTGAAGAAAAACAACTAAAAACGAAACGTCATTTACCACATGAAAAAATAGCAAACCCACTATATAAAAGCAAACAAAAAATAAAAAAAATCCACAAAAACAATAATGAAAATAAAAAATAAAAATAAAACACAGAATTCGAAAAAAAACACTAAACCACTGTACTCGTATAACCCAACACGATCAGCGTTAACTCCGGGTTATCTTACCAAGGTTGAGTCTGGCTTCAGTGAGTTGCGCCGTCAGTCTCACCACCTCCGCCTTCAGCCGTGGCGTAGAGAACGGTTCGTACTGGAAAGGGAAAAGGAAATGGTCAATTATCGTAATATAGCCATAGTAGGAACGCCCATTTTAATGCTACTAATATATATACATATGTGGGTCGCGGTCCCCCTATAGCGTCAGATATACAGATGAAATATATACAAAAAAAAAAATATTAATAAATGAAAAAAAAAAAAAAATAGCATCGTGAAGAATAAATCAGTTTATTGTTTACCAAAACGTGGTTATATCTTACCGTAACCCCCCCCCCCAATACTCCAAAATTACGAACCCTTACGAATCCTCCCCGCAATATTCAGGTAACGAATAACAGAAAAAAATGTATACACGAAAAAAGTACCATCTCATCAAATATAATGAAAAAAAACAGACCCTAATTACCACCACCCCCACCACCCCCCAGTGGATCCCCCAGTGGATTGACACTGGGATAAAAATAACCCCAGGCCAATGCGGTTGCCGTCCCATTCCGCTGCAGACAGAGAGAGAGAGAGAGAGAGAGAGGGGGGGGGGTCCTGAATCACGTGTCAGGGAAGGTTTCTTGCCATTCAGGTTTTCTGCTCGGCGTTCGGGGGCCGAGTGGCGTTCGTTTGTCGGCTTTGCTGCTACTATCATTAGTAGTGTTTTAGTTATCATCACCATCGTCGTCGTCGTCATCACCATCCTCATCATTATAATCATCATCCTTATCGCCATCATCATCATTATCGTCGTCATCATCATCATCATCGCCCCAGCCGGCGCGAGTGCATCTCGGCCATCGCGCAGAGAACAGAAGCCATCTCAGAATAGTGTCGTGTAAATAACCCTTCGTCCGCCTGTGAAAATCGACCCTTAAACCAGGGCCAACAAACTCATCCGTCAGGGAAGGGGAGAAAAAAGTTTACAGACACAAACACGCACCTACACAAACATACACACAAATACATGCATAAAGACAGGCAGACACAAAAACATATAGAAGGAGGGGAGAAGATGTAGAAGAAGAAGAAAGAGAAGGAAGAGGAGAAGGAGGAGAAAAAGAAGAAGGAAGAGAAGTAGAAGAAAAAGAGGAAGAGGAGGAGGAGAAGACGAAAAGAAAAAGAAGGAGGAGGAGGAGAAAAAAGGCAAGAAAAACAAACACAGCACACCCTTCGCGAGCCGTAGCCGCTGACCCGCCGCCGAGGAGAGAGAGAGAGGGGCGTCAGGTGTCATCAGGTGATTAGGTTACTGAACCAGCTATGGCAGCACATGGGCTCTAAATCATATCCCCCCCCCCCCCCCGCCTATCCAACACCACAATGGCTGGCTGGTTGACACAGGCCAATGCCATCACCAAGAAAAAAAATGAATGAGGAAAAAAATCTGGCATCTTCGTTCGACATGTTATACCAGGAGTCACAGGGGATGGGGGGTATAAGGGGATAAGCAAAAAGTGAAATGGTGTTGACATCATACAGAGGCTGCGAAAAAAGAGACGGTGAGAAGGGGTCAGTCAAGAAAAAAGGATGGGAAAGGAGAGAGAGAGAGAGAGTGAGTGTCACAGGCACAGAAAGGACACAAAACACTCGCCACCACAACGAAATAAACCGTAATGCTTAAAATCACATCTATTTTGATCGCCCGTGACAAACACGCCCATTCCACCCACTCATAATGCTCCCAAGACGGAAAAAACACCCATATCTCACCCACGCATAACTCCCGGCCCCTTCCACCCACACCCCCAACTTCCCATACAACAACCCGTCACCCCCCCCCCCCCGCCCCCGCCCCCCACGTACACAATCCGTTTTAAGCCCCAGCTCATAAGCTCCACCGAGAGAGGAAGAAAACAAACACGTAACAGCATGTAAAACGAAACACTGCCGCCAAGGAAACGGGATAAAACGTTCTTAGTACGTTTCCACAGTGGCAACGTTTCGTCTTATGCGTGTGTACGAGTTACTGTGTTTGTACCCCCCCCCCCCAAAAAAAAAAAAAAAAAAAAAGTCGCATATTTCGCCGCCATTCGGGAGCTTCCGAGGGCGTCCTCTGAGGGGTAAAGCGACCGCCTGTCTCGGGTTCCTTCCATTAAAGGATCTCGGTTTACTTTTATTTTCGGCCGGCTAATGAGCTCAAAGAGATCGCAATACACGAACGAACACCGCACAAAGGCCAGCCTCGGAATAAACAGGAATGAGCGAGAATGAGCACAAAGGGAGAGCCAGATAATACGTTGAGGTGAAAGTAAATGCGCTGAGACATGTCTACCTAAACATGCTCATGAATGCTCGAAATAATAATTCGCTGAGAATAATTTTCTGTTGGATATGGCAAGGACTTTTATCTATGGCAAACCGACTGTAAATCCTATCATATGCCTCCTCCTACTCCCGCTCAGCCATCAGCCGCACTTAAAAGCGAAATAGGCCTTTGTTCCCTGGCGTAAACCTAATTACAGATCCCGAATCTCATGCCACCCAGAGAGGCCTAGTAAAACAATTAAGCGGGCTAATAAACACTTCCCCGGGCGGCCTAAGTTATGGGTTTCCAAAAGGACACTATGCGGGCGTGGTTCGCGGGCGGAGGAACAGGAACAAGGCATCGCGAGTACGTGCGGTGTTGTGAAATGGCTCGTGACAGGTGGGCGTCGATCCCCCCGCAGGTGTGCATGCCCGCCGGCGGAACACGCGCGCGCCCTTTGAAAATCGCCTGGATAATCGGTGGCGCCCCAGCTCACGTCCTCCGTCCGCGGCGCGTGCAGGAGCGGTTTCCAGGTTTCTCTTGCGATTTCTGGACGACGAAGCGCTGGATGACTTCCGCCCGCATCCCCCTGCGACACTATGGATCAGGACCCCCCCCCCCCCCGCGCCGAAGAAACTTGTTGACGCCTGAGGTGATGGGAAGGTACAAGCGCGCGAGGCCAGGCGATTGACAGGTGATTAGCCCTGGGTAGGTAACGCCCTCCAGCTCTGGCCCTGAGCCTGGCACTCCTCCGCCGTGGCACTCGTGAAAGGCGGCCGCCAGGGACCACCTAAGGTGAGCGACGACTCGGGGAACGCGAACCGACAGGAAGGCCGATAATCCTAATCACTAACACGATCGCTTCGCCTCTAAGGTTCGCAGCTCAGCTCCGCCCTCGAGCGTGGCGATCACCTGCGAGCGACATGAGGGCATCTGACGTGTCCCTGACGGGCATCGACGCCGGGCATAAACTGTCAGTAAGCGGGACCCTTCTCAGCCTCCCCCGCCCCCCCCCCCCCCCTCCGCCCACGAGTCACGAACGAGGACTCCGAAGGCGGGGGAGAGCAGGCAGGGGCGGGGGCGAAGGAGGGATGGCGGGGCCCTGCGTACCCCGTGTAGGAAGGTGGCCAAGGACTCCCAGCAGCATCCTACGGCCTCCTGCGCCTTAATCCCCAGCGCTCCCATAGCCTCACCTGCCGGGCCGCCCTCCTTCCACTCCTTATCTCCCGAGTACATCGAAGGAGTGGGATTTCCCGAGGGACGTCCCATGCAAATTCCGGCCGAAACCCTCGTCCCGCGTGACGCTCCCACAGATACATTTAAGCACACACACACACACACACACACACACACACACACACACACACACACACACACACACACACACACACACACACACACACACACAATAAATAAAAATAAAATATATAAATAAATAAAAACAGTGAGAGAGAGTAAAATTTTTGTCCGTCACTTTTCTTGACATGAAACAGGAACCGTGCAACTACGTCAACGACCAGACCCCAAAATGGCCCAGCCTTCTGCGCTTCTAAATTTACACGACCACGCTTTTGCAGAGTGCGAATGAGGTGCGTCCCAGCGTCCCTGACTCGTCATGAGGGGCGGGTTCAGGGGAGGAAGTCCTGCCGGCGAGGGCTTGCGTTCGCTGGCATCAATTCAACGCCGGATTTGCATAAAACAAACGCCGTTGGGTAATGCGAAACCCAACCTCATTTTGTCCAACCGCAAGATCTGGTTGAAATTACTTTACACTAGTCGGATCGTTAACAAGTTATTTGTGTGCTTATGAATATATGCTTGCACACACACACACACACACACACACACACACACACACACACACACACACACACACACACATTTCCTCAGACTATGTAATTCTTCCTTGACACATTCTTTTTCTTTCATAAAAGAATTCAAACTCTTGCATCAAAATCGGCCGTGTCTGCGATCACATACCGCCCACACTCCTCACACGAAACGACCCCCCTATCCACCCGCTCTCACCCAGCATCCTTTCCCTCACACCTCATAAAGAGATGCTGGAAGGATGCGGGGTCCTGGCCTCTCTCCCACGCAGGATGGGATCCCAGGACTTCGCGCGCCGTCACGCCCTCACCGCCATATGTGGGCTGGCCGGTGCGGGCGGCCTGCCACAGACGCCCATGTTCCCGCGTCGGCCGAGACTCTATCTCAGCAATCACCGGGCGAAGGCAAAAGCAACTCCGGTGTTCTTCGTGAACTTGAACCCCACGTAGCGTGAACGGCGTCACTCGCTCACCTTGACGTGCACACATATGGCGTTTGTTTACATCGCAATAAGCTCATTTCCCTGAGCTCTTGGGGGGGGGGGGATGTCCTTTATATGGAAGGACTTTGACTCTGACCGGAGATCGACGCTGTACTCATTATGGGGGCTTTGTGGGGCCTCCACGCCGATGCCATCGAGGTGTCAGGACCTACGTCAGTCCAATACTTTAGAATGGAGACAACTTAATCCCATGCTCTAAAATATTTGTCCTAAATGCAAGTCAGCCTTTTTGTCTTAGTTGTGTGCGCGCGTTTACAAGTGTGTGCCTGTGCGCCTACACACAAACGAAGCGCAGGAGCAAACACTGTCTTACTCGCCGTGTATCTCCGCAGCGCAACCCGACCGCGATCGCGCCCCGCCCCGACCAGCAGCCAGCATAGGGGCCGCTGCGTTGTTGCTTTGCCATAGCAGTCCATGTTGCGAAGGTGAGTCAGCAGGCGACCCGCGTCCCAGGTGCGCCTCCGAGATA